TCTTCCCTGACTGAATCCAGCACAGCAACTTAGTCTAAACTAGTCACTTGGTGACATACCTATGGAGGAGTCCAAGGTACTTGGACCTTCTGGGAGGGCCCAGCTTTCTCCACCGACCACAAGGGAAGCCTGGACAGCTAACATCGAAATGACAATGACGATGCCCATCTTTGGGAAAAACAACCAAATGGAGCAGACACCTCCTGTATATGCAGCCAGGCAGTCCTCTCCTCTCCTACACCCAGACGTTACGACTGGCCTGTACTTGGAAGAAAAGCTTTTGGAAGATATAAGCATTACACAGTCTGAAACATTTTGGCTTGAAAATCTTCCTTGGTCTCCCTTTCTTGTGCAGAGGGAGATAATAAAGTTTACTGGTCACAGCAGCTTTGGAGTGGAGATGGAAAAATAAGAATCCATGTTTTCTTTGAAATACTGTGTCTTGATCCTATTCCTCAGTGTTGACCAAAAATATCCCCCACCCTTTTTGTAAAGCTCTCTCTCCATCTTTATTACCTATCATTGTAAAGTACTTTGAGGTGACTGGATAGAAGCACTCCATGTGCAAGTACTAAGAGTAAAGTCAGAAATAGCCAGTCCTCTTCTACCCAATATACACAAGAGCTGAAAGTGTTGATGCTAGTGTCATTTTTCAGGGTAATCAAAAGTCAGGTGCTTCCAGAACAGACAGTTTTTCACTCCTCCTCTTTTCCCAGAGCCTATATAAAGTTGCATTTGTCTGCACTTCGGGTAATATGATACACTGAGAAGCAAGGTGGGAAAAATTTCCCAATCACATCCAAAGGCACACAGGACTTCAAATACTGTTTGTCTCACATGAAAACTTAGTGTCCTCATTTCCAGGCCGGGGTCACAATCTTTCAGCACATTTTAATGAAATATGGCTGTTTAATAGGGTTTCTCAGCATGCTCCTTGTGCTGTTGGAAAATACTGTGCCAGTGTTTCTCATTTTCATGCTCTTGTTTTAGTGTCTGACTCTCACTTTGCCTTCTATTTGTCCTCACTATAATACAAATTAAAACGCCACTCCTACTGGCATCGGAGCCAAAACTAAAGCTAAACGCAATAATTTATTGTGCATTCAACTAAAAAATGCTACTTTCCAAATAACATTATGGATAACATCCATCTGGTTTGAAATCTAGTTCTGATTATGCTGAATAGCTCTTGGCTGGTCTTCTGCTAGCAGTGCCAGCTGTTGCTGTGGAATGATCAACGGGATCATGGTGCCAAATAGATTTTGTTCCTGGTTTCTTTCAACCCAAGGGAGAAATAGTCTGACAGAACCAAAAACCATCTGAATTTTGACCTTTGTCTCGTATCCTCCTGCTTGCAAAGTTCCAGATTTATTTTCAACTAATACTCTAGATACAGGTCATGATACTGTAAAGCCTCCGTTACAGTATTACATGTATGTTAGACGGACTGTTGTTAGCACCCAAAAATAACAACAAAACTATCTGCCCTGGGGACAGGCTTAACACACAACAGCTGTGTAGCACGGGCACAGATTCAGTATGTTTGAAAGCAACGTTAGGAGCTGTACAGTGCTGTCATAAGGATCTAACCAATCTGCTCTGGTGACACTAAAAATTGAAGCCATCATGTGCCCCATCTTTTGTCAGAAAGCTGGCTTTTGCATCACTCAGACATAGATGTGAGGTCTAGATTCAGAAAAGTCCACAGACCTCCGATGACCGTGACATCCTAAGCCAGGGGTTCTGCAAGCTGCCAGACCAGGAATAACAAGACTCCCTCTCTGCCCTGGCTCTCTGTTGTTGTCCTGTCAGCCCAGATGATCCCCGTAAGTTGCTAGCTTCACCTTCCACTCTAGCTAGGACCAGCAGAAAAAGAGTCAGTTCCCAAAGTAAGCAGAAAACATGGCATGAGATGCAGGTGACCCCTCGAGAAAAGAGATGGAGGAGACAGAGTGGGATAGTTTGCATAGATGACTGACTTTGAGCTAATTAAAATCCAATGTCCGTATTAACAACAATTACTGTTGTGTTTATGGAAGGAAGGGACCATAACAACATTGCCCAAGAACATAACAAACTTAAGCATTGCAAGTAGAACTGTCTTTGTAAGTAGAAATCTGAATGGGAGTTTGGGGCTTCCAAAAATCCCCAACACTTCAGAGCATTTATAGCCAAATTAGATTAAAAATTCACATGCACTTCTCCCACCTCATCCCTTCAGCCGCAAGGTGGTTTGGAATGGAATTCAGGTCAGCATCTAATTATTTGAAATGCTTAAACAAAACCTTTGCTTACAGTCAGTTGGCTAAATCATCTGCTAGGTCAAGCCCTTGATTCAAGTGCAGTTTGTTCACATAAGGTAATGGAAAACAAGAGCTCACATCCTTAATTGTGTGTGCATGTCTTTATAATGAACCTGCATATAATCAACACATCAAGGCTCAATACATGCTATTCCAGCACCAGAATGAGCCTGCTTGTGTTAGTGTGGATTAATCTCCCTCTGGCTAATACGGCTTGCTCTCCACCCCCCTTCAGGGGACCCTTGTCCTTCCATGACAGGGGAGGAGGAGAAAACCAGCTGATTTTGGCAGCTGCTAGAGCCCTCTCTGCTGCCAGGGAGGAAAATGCTGCAAGGCACCTAAGGGGAAGCTAAGTGACCTAATTACGCAGTCAGGGGGTGAGTGATTACCAGCAAGCAAAAGGAGCAGGCAAGGACAGCCCACCTGGGATATCCTTGCAAGGCTAATCCGAACTCACAGTGTATTCCCAGTCTATTCACAGTGACAACTCTTCAAGACGTTTCTGCATTAACCAGCCCTCCAGTGGAAAGTCTGCACAGGTTTTCCATAAATGGGCAAGACTGGATTTCAGTGCTTTCTTTCAGGAAGAACTAAATTCAGAGATTCGTATAGCTTTAAAAAGTACTGACAAAAGAGGATGCTGCTGAGGACTGGTAGCAAGCTGAGCCGTGTCCTACCTTGGGCTATCAAAACAATAGATCTGTCAGAAAACACAGCGCCAGCATAGCCTTCGATGACAAAAAATGTGTTGTAGAGGGAAGCACAGGAACTAGGGACGAAACAAGCCCAGTCCACTGTCTGCCAGTGCTGCGTTGTCCCCTGTCGCGTTTTGCCAAGTTCTGATAAAAAGACACGTCACATCTCTGTGAGGGCACATTGCAGAGGCCATCTCTTACCTTGTGCCGGATGGCAAAAAGACTCGTGTCCTGAAAAATCAGGGACGCACATCTTGGAAACAGCAGAAGAGTGACAGAGCTGCATTTTGTTGGGAATACTGCTGCTGTGCGTTTTTCCTCAGGGAGCAGTTTGGGTGGAACATACGGTGCTTTATGTCAGTTGGTATTTCTCAAATGAGTTGCACACACTCAGTTTTAAACGTCCGTTCACGTGGCCAAAGACAGCACAAAGAACACAGTTCTCTCATTTCTAAATAAGTAAACAAATGGTAGCACACACTGCCCTTCCCTTGGGCATCTCAAAGCATTTGCTGCCTATCTACCCCTCTCTGACGCTGTGCTCCATCCACGCGCCGATGGGGCTGAATATGAACGTATCTGAGGAGCGAGGTCAGAGTGCTACCGAGCTGGAGCTGACCACACTGCCGGGGGCCCAGGAAAAGCAGACACCCACACACTAGTGTGGCATGTGCTTCCCACTTGGGTCGCGGGCAAGCTCATGAATTCCTGCTCCTGAAACACACCAGAGAGGGAGATGGCAGGGGACTTTTACACGCTTGGGTAGTACTAGGCTTGCTCCAGCAGGCTGCACGGATGTAGGAACACTGGTTTGTGGCAACGGACGGATTAAAACCAGGTGCACAGTCACCTACCTGTCTGCCGTCTTTCTGATTGCAGGCTTCCAGTGTGATGTGAGAGCCAGTAGAGAAGGAGGTAATGGAAAGACACTTGTCCTGCTGTCTAATTAGAGGGTCACTGAATACCCACTCCTTTGGCATAAGAAAAAGAGAGGTTCCGTTAGGATCATAGTGGCGATGAGGTGAGGGAAAAAGAGTTTTTTCTATCAGGTATTTCAAAAACTCATGTCCTTTGTTCAGCTCTCACCAAAGGCTCCCTGGGAAGACTATGGCAGCAGTCTTCACCTGATCAGTTTATGCTCAGGCTTGGTGCAGCCTGACTATTTCAAAGCCTGCAGCTGGCTCCCCTGACCGTCTGGGCTGTCTGATTAACCCTGTATCCCATGCAACTCCCTGCTCTGCAACTTTACAGGCCTAGGCCTACAAAGCAGGGAGACCCCAGCCACTGAGTTACATGACTTTCAACTGCTTCTGCATATTTTACATAGCAGACATGCTCTGTAACAGGTATCTGGTACCTATAGATTGTCCAGTGAAGCAAAACACATGCGAGCATATCCATGGCTTGACACATATCACCAGCACACATAAAGCACAAGCCACTTAATTTTTCCCTCGTCTCACTAGATGGATACCCAACCCAATAAACTATTATTATTATACTTTCCCCAAGGAAGAAATATAGAATGCAATGAATTTCAGAGATTTCAAATGGTAATGACATGGAACAATGAGTCAGATTAAATGGCATGTTGAATGCTGGCTGCAAACTGGTTTCTAACAGTTAACAGATGTGAATACGTATTTTCTGGCAGCATGTATCCTACTGCGACCCTCAGCTTTCTCGAGCTGCTTCCCTGCTGCTCTAGGTCACCAAAAGAAGAGGCTGAGTGCAGATCCTCAGCTGGTATAAACCAGCACAACTCCACTGCAGTTAGGAGACGTGCTGAATTACTGCGGCTGGGATCTTGGCTATTTCAGGTCTATTTGGGCTTCCTACTGAAATGCATCTGTAAACCAGCACAGTTCAAGCTGCCATCTGCAGCTACAGCTGAACTGGCAGACCAAGGAATGTTTCTGATCCTGGGAAAATCTCTTACGCATGTGCCAGGGTACTAGCCAAGCACAACCCAGGATGAGTTCTCATGGGTTGGACGATGAAGCAGAGCACACCCGAGCAAGCGTCTGAGTGGGAACAGCTCCATGACTCAAACCCTGGTCGCACGCCTGCTGCGCAGACCCATCACACCCCTGAGCATTCAGGCACTACCTGTTGCCTTCGAGTGATGAAAACCTTCCCACTCTATGCCTGACTGCTGAGTCTGTTGAGCCAACACAACTCTTAAGAGAGGGCATAGCTTCTTTTTCTGCTTACTATTAAAATCATTAACAGGCCCATATTCTTCCTTCATTCACCTCTGTCCAAACCCACCGAGGCCAGAGATGCCTTTTCATTCACCAGTAAGGAAAAGGGCCGAAGCAGGAGCAAAGCACCAAACTGAAGCCTGCCTTACCTGAGTGACAGGTGGATTGTTCACTGTTCCTTTACAGATTCCCATGCCAGCCAAAGTATTCCCTGTGGTATCCTGTGCCTGAGACTCCAGGCAGCTTCCCCCTTGTTTAATTATTCCTGGAATCAGCTCCTTTTCAGGAACCCTTGAAGTAAGATGACAGTTGCATGGCACTTTGTACATAGAAATGACCAAAGCACACAAACATTTAGGAGGCCGTAACTGGCCCCTTACTGAAACACAGCCCTCTTTATCTGACAGAAAATGAACAATATCATGCTAGCTATCCACTGGAAATGCCTGGAGGAGGCAAAAGTTAATGGAGAACTCGGTCTGAGGGCTGGTGACCTTTTATTTCACAAGGCATGACGTGCTTCAGGTGTACCCCAAGCAGTTCAGTGTGATGTCTCTTTTGAAAGAGGCCATTGCCAGTAAAAAGCCATATCCACACTGATTTATCCTGCTTCTGCCTCCCCCTTTCCCAGAGTCTTCCCGCTAGTGCTAGCACGTATTCACTGCCTCATTGGTAGCACTACAGGGAAGATCTGCCAAGGCCAGACTACAGCTGGATGTTTCACCCTCGACCCACGTTAGCTACAGACTTTGCCTGACGGAGATGTGAAGGAGTGCTGCCAGGGCGTGCTGGCTAGCAAGTGCCAACAACACAGCTCTACCCAGGCTACCTTCCAGCAGAGCAATGCCACAGCATTACTGCATCCTCATGTGGGGCAGGGGAAGCCCCAGCCACAGCTGGTTCTGGCATTCACTAGGGCTTTGTCTGAACCACCCACACCTCTGCACTGAGGCTGGCCAGCTCTACTTTGCTCAAATACCTCCAGCCACAGCATCCAACGGGCAGAGACCAAGCCTTGACAGGGAAGCATGTAGTGCTCTGGCACTTGGCCTACACCCCACACCTCCAAAACCACTACTGTTGCACACTTCCGAGGGACAGCTGTATGGGGCAGAGCAGAGGGCCCCCTAGAGGCAGGACCAAAAAGCCTTTTGCAGAGTTGTGATGATACAAGCCAGGATATCAGAGAGGTCTCTCACCAAAAAGAACAGAGGAAAACCTTTTCCAAGCATAAGTCCCTCTTTTGCCCACTGCCACCAAGGCTCAGCTGCTGCTTGTGACCCACCTCCCAGGCCCTTCAGAAATTTCCTCAAATGGAGAACTGACTCACTTGAGCTCAGGGTAGACGTTCTCCAGGTACCACTGGAAGGATTTGCAGTTCAGTTTGCGTCGCTGCTCCACTCGGTCTGCAACACTGGAAACACAGGCAGGTTGTTGAGGATAAGGAAGTGAACAGGAGAGAGAGGAACAATGGAGATCTGCCAGGAGGTTTGAAGGAAACTATGACTTTTCCCCCTTACTCCTTCTCCCACCTAGTTGTTGCTGGGTTCAGAACACTGCAGTGACATGAGGTGAAAAGGAGGAGGGAAGCAAGAGGCAGGAAATAGAAAAGGAAGTCATGAACACCTTTAGAGAGCAACTCTTGTACTTCCTTTGGCTCAGAACAATGGCAGGGCCCAAGTCCTACAGTGTAAAATAATAAATTGCAGAAAAATTACTGTAGGATCATGAACACGTGTCTGCCTCCGGGTGCCCCTGCAGAGGCATAACATGAAACTTGCCTAGCCATCAGCTCCTGAAAAGGCCTAGGAAGCGGTGATGCTCAGGTATGTACAAACAGTTAATCTGCGTGTGCTAGAGGTGAGGTAACACAGCAACAGCTCTAGGCTCAGGCTGGGTTTCAGACCTAAATAATATAATTATTTGTTCTTAGGCAGCTTTGGGAAAGGGAAGGAGCATAAGGGGAAGCGAACTCAGCATCCTGGTAAGAGTCTGCTGCAGCAGTCCTCCCACTGCTGATTTGCTTGGCTTTAGCTGGCTGAAGAGGAGGACTTCTCTCAAGAAGTCCTAGAGAGCAGAGACACTGGGGATGCTCCTCTTCAAGCTACGTCACTACATTTGTCTGTTGGGAAGGACTTTCAGCTGTACCCATGGCTTATTCAGCCAATGCTGCCAGTAAAGCCACTAGGAAGTCTATGTGAACAAGAACTGCAGGCTTTGGCCCTAAAACACATAGCAATATATCCATGTCCAATATGCAATTGGCCAATTTCCTTCACAAGCAGCAGGGTTGCTTGCTATTTGGACCAAGCCCAGCTGCTGCAGTCAGCTCAAAGACACACAATTAGATAGGCAGAGCTATTTGTACAAAAATATGCAATGCATCATGATAATAAAGCACAATGCACCACAAAGAAAGTTTGTGTGGGGCAGACCAAACCTGCTTGTTATCAAATTAGCAGGAGATGCATCACTACCCAGTGCATGTAACTAAAAATCTGAGATACAACCACACTTGCTGAGTGCTTAAGCCGATACAATAGTCAGTTTTTCACCAGCAGATATAACTCACTGACACAACCCACAGATACACACTGCTCCTGGAATTTTTTACGTTTGTTCGGGAGTTATAGGGGTTTGTTAACACAGAGAGCAAGCTCTCCCCTCATCCCAGGTTTTGGTGTCCTTCACTGATTTCTGGGTCACAAAGAATGCTTAAGCCCTTAACAGCAAATCCCGTATGACCTGGAGGCAGTTCTAGCAAAGGTGCTGTAAGGAGCACAGTTCTGCACACCAGTGGGCTCAGCAGGTGCTGGAGACAAGTCATGACCAGATTGTGCTGCTAAATGAAATGTCTCACCGTTGACCAGGCTCTCTCCTCCCTACAAACCAGGCAAACCACCCAGCAGGAAAGAAGGGAGTGTACCAAGTGCAGTCTGCCCCATGTGCCAGCTAGCAATGCTTGTCCCAGGATTCTGCATCCACACAGAAACTTCGGATCAAGATCTAGGAGCTGCATAGGTCACATTTCCAAAGCAGCCACGTGCTGTGTTAGAAAATATTCTTATCTATCCACTTAAAATGCCTGGCCTTTTAATTTTATTACAGATCCCTTTGGTCTTCTGCTAACAAATTATTTATGCAGGGTTACTAGGGGGAAAAATAAAGTGAATTAGAAGCAAACCTTGTTAGCCAGACACTGAAGCTGTAACCTCCCTGGCAAGCCAGCCAGTCAGAGCATCTGTTTCCCAGACTTGGCTCCAGAGAAGATCCAAAACCTATTTCTTGCTGGCAAGGAGCTTGCTAGGGACCGCCTACCAAGGCTTGAGGGCATCTTACCTTCCAAACAACTTCCCAATGGCTGATGGCCGGGCCTCGTAGTAGTACTGCTTGTATTCATCCATCCACACCTCTGCTGTGCGCTTGGTGTTCCTGCATGGGGATGAGGAGGTGCTCTGCTGAGTGCTGCTGGAGAACCTGCCCACCCAGCTAGTAGGCACCAGGTGGGCAGACCCAAGACCTGGGTGCCAGGAGGGAGTGGGGAACAGTCCCAAACACGAAACACAGTAGGCAGTACGGATAGATATAGATTAAATGTGCTAAGTCTGCAAAGCCTTGCAAGGCTGCTACGGTTCAGAAGTTAAAATTTTAACAGCCATAGTTTACTATGATGTTTTCACACATGCTCCCTCTGCAGAGATACCTGGAGTGACAGACACCATCACCCTGCTCTACAGTATCCTGTTACCATCACCCTGCTTTACAGTATCCCTTCCCCCAGATTAGAATAACGCCATGGAATAAGTCAGCTTGGAAAGCACCTCTCGGTATCACTTGGGTCAACCTCCTGCCCAAAGCAGACTAGCTTCAGTTTAGGTCATGATGTTCAGGGTCTTGTCTGGTCAAGTTCTGAAATCTCCAGCAATGGAGATTTCACCACCTCTCTGTGGTGCACTTTGTCTCATCTTTTTTCTCTTCCCACCTGTACTGCAGTGGAAGTTGTCATTAGGGCTTGTCTCAGACCACATAGAGCTCAGTAGGATCTCTGGACTCAAAAGCAGCTCAGAGACAACCGAGATGACTAACGACTGCTGAAACACAGGCACATGTCACAGAGCAGTATCCACGAATGGCCAGGGTCTCTCTCCGGGGCACCGCTCTTAGACAGAGGAAGAACAAGATGCAGTAGTACAAACACCAGAGAAAGGAACAGGTTTTGTTCACAGAAAACAGCAACTCATCCTTCCCTTGAGAACAGATGCTCAGTCATAAGCTGTTCTCTGTCATCAGGCAGAAAGACAACAAAGAATTCAGGCTTATTTAGACATGCCCAACACCAAGTTGACCTGGCTTCTACCAGGAACTACCCGACACTTACTTGATGTAAGTCAGTGCATTGCCCTCAGGGAAGTCATAGGGATGGCGCTTCCTGAACACGTGTCCCACTCGACTGCAGGGAACGATCTCCAAGCTGCCACCGCACATCCACACTCGGAAAGAGAGCTCTGGAAGAGACCCCAAGAGTCATACAGCAGCAGGCAGACCGGCAGCATTTCCAAGAAGGACAGCTTCAGCAGTGTGCCTGAAAACCTTGCCCCTCTGCCCTAGATGCAACAGCAAAATCAGGAAAAGTGATGCCATGGTGAGTGTGAAAAAACTGTCCTCCCTTTGTTAAAATGGAGGTGACCCTCGTGGCTCAGAGACTTCCTAGCCTTTTCCTGTCCGACTCCTCTCTTGGGTCCACAGGCATTTAAGTGAGACACCTTTCCCCTCGACCATGTCCTTGTGGATGCTGTCAGGCCTTCAGTATGGTATTTGGCAACAGAATGAGATCACCCTCCACCCACCTTGTTTGGGACTTCTGTAACTCTCCAGCCCTGCATATGGATGGAATAAAAACCAGAAGAATTCACCGTGTAAAGCAAAACATGTGAGGAAGAAAGGGAATTTAGGAGACAAGGAGGAAGAAGAGAACAAGATGAGGGCATAGGAAGTGAGTCAATGCCTAGATCACAGTCCTCTCCCTCATACCTCCATGTTATCCACCCTAGAATATTTTGTTGTCTTTGTTCTGCTTGGCTCTGTTAAATTAAAAAAAAAAAAAAAAAGCTGGATGACTAGGTTACAGTTGTCACCAGTTGCCTCTGTTGGGGGAGCTACTGAGAGCAGAAACCAGTTTAATAGTGTGACTATAAGAATTTGGAGAGAGCCCTGCTATTTGAAGAAATCCAGCCGGTCCTGAAGCTAAATTCAACATTTTATTAAAGGATTAGAAGAACACGGAGCTTTGATGTACAGGCGCTTATTTGCATCACAGAAGAGATGTGACCTCGCTCAAGTTTCTGGGTCTGTCTTCCTAAGTTTAATCACTGCCACACCGGAGGGGTTTTCCACTTCTGTTTCATGTGGTGGTGAGAAGAGAAGGAGGAAAGAGGAAAATGAAAATTAGCTGGGTAGCTTCACAGTCCTTACCAAAAGGTCTTCAGATATTGTAGACTGATGACTTCAAAAACTTTACTTAGTTGGGATATCCCTCTAGTAATGCCTGAATTATGGGGCTCTGATGTTTAGAAATTAAAAATAAATTATGTATCCAGATCTAGTGGCTGTTTCAAAGCATGTACACACACTAACATCTCCCCAGCCTTCATCCTTCTCCATAGCCTTTCTCTCTAGCTCCTGGGTAAGGTTGTTTAAACAGTGTGTTTTGCAGGGCAAAGATGGTATATTTAATCTAGCTTCTAAGTAAAAAACCACTATATTAGACTGTATTTTGTGACATTTCTTACTAGCTCTTGTCTTTCCCTGAGTCCTCCCTAGAGCTAATTAATTTCAGTCTCTTTTTGTCTGGTGGTGCGTCCAGCTGGCATTTGCTCTCCTGAATGAGGTTCTGACTCACTCCGGCCTACAATAAAACCAGAACTCTCAATCTAGCGTGTGTAACTTAAAGGGATGTCCATTTCCCATGAAAGGATTCCTCATGCCATATTGATATCTTGGGCACACTGACAGACTGCATGTTCAGGTTTCAATTTTTCAGAATTCCTTAAAGAAAGGGTCAAAGAATGCAGATTTTGAGCACAGAAGAGATGAAGGAGAGTAAACGTAGCTTATTAAGGACTTTCATTTATCCTTTGATAGAAAACATAGCAGAACTTTTGCTGTATATTTTCCAGGACATGACCTAGTCCACATGTGTTTTAAATGACTTAATCACGGCAGCTTTTCCCCATCACAGTGGGGAAAATAAAGGGGTTTACCAGCTCACATGCAGCTGGAAAGACATTTAGGCAGCTGGCAATTGCTGCCTGATGATTTCTGTGTGCCTACTTCGTTCACAGAGCTTGTCTGGCTCTGTCCCTTCGCACATATTCTCTTATCTTGTTTTCTCACAGTAAAAAGTTTCAAAGAAGAATTTTATTAAAAATGGCCTTTGTGAGCAGGGAATGGCCCACCTCACCCACCCAAAATTAGTCAAAACCACTCTCCCACCTCACCTGCAAATGGTGACCTTATCCCAACAGTTTCTTTCCACTCAAAATGGTAATTTGTAGCAAAAACAGTGTTTCAGAACATTATCAACTTTTTTCCTTGATCACAAAATCTGATTTTCAATCAAGTGGGGGAAAGTTGTTTTTAAGAGGGTAATTTAACCATTCTGAATACTTCAAGGAAAATTACTACATTTGGTTGTCAAATACAGGTTGGTTTCTACCCTTCTGTCGTGCAACAGCAACCAACTTGATGTAGAAGCCACCGCTTGCTTCGTTGCCTCACATTATGCTGAAGAGATGAACCAAAGTCAGCTTTAAAAAAGAAAAGGAGTCTGGTTTGGTTTTAAAATACCATCGCCATCATCACATTGGTGGTGTGGCAATGTGACTCAGGGATAGGCCCCATTAAACAGCATTCTGCACTTAACTTTGTCCTCTTAAGTGAGGAGTGGAGGTGCAGGGTAAGAGTCAAGTGATGGGACACAATGAATTTCCATGGAAACCATGCAACAAGGCAAAACTGGCAAGCCCTGTACACCTGGCCCAGCACCACACAGCCTGGCCCAGCCACTGCCAGACTTTACAAGAGCAATTTGAAGGAGAATGAAGCAAATTCTGTGGAGGTTTTGATCAGTTCTACGTGCAAGAAGGGATGTGGATGTGCAGGTAATGTACTGCCACTTCTGGCAGAGAGTTCTGCTTAGCATGAAGCTACTGATATATGCACCAAACAAAGTCACTGGGCTCCCAGCTGAGCAGAAACAGACAACCAAAAACCTAAAGAAATATTCTTTCTCCGTCTTTGGGGTTCACAGCTTTTACACAGTGGCGGCTCAGAGGCTGGCAGGATGGGAGAGTGGCTGGCTCTGTAGCTGGAGCAGGGCTAGTGACAGCAAGGAGCTGAGCTTGGCTGTGCAGAGGAGCCTGAGGGAAACAGGAGAGGGGATCATCATGCCTGGGTAAGGGCTGCCTGCTACTGCCTACAGCGCTTAGCCTACTACAGCACTGCTGAGACTCCAATGCAAGCCCCATTTACTACCTCTTTTTAACATCATAAACATCATAAAACCGAAGCAAGACCTCAGAAAACAGAGAACACAAGCACTCGTTATTAGATACTTTGTTTTAAAACACTGATATTCTGTTACCAGCCAAATATGTTATTTCCTGGTTTCAGAGGGCATTTCAGAAAGAGGCAGATCTCCCAGCTGTGTTCAGAGAAACAGAAGTTTCCCCTTCCTGACTATTTCTTTCTTTCTAATTGGTCCTCCAGGTGCTAGAAAACACCATATAAACTCTTCTTTAAAGGGATTTATTTACAAATCTGTGACATTTATGGCAACAGTAGAAACAGAATAATTTTGGATTTTTGGCAGCGTCAGCTACAGAAAAGCCTATTTAAGGTGACTGCAAAACAGAGCAAGGCTTTTATCTCTTCAGCTCCACCTGCATCATTTCTAAATGAATGCCCCACTTACTTGAGGTTGTGAATCTCTTTTCAATACTCTTCTTCCTTTTGTCACTAACACCTGGTGACACTGCAACATCCCTTCACACAGGCAGAGAGATGACTGGAATACCTGTGCCACCGTGAAGTGCAAGGAGATGGGTTTCAGCACCTTGCCCTGTAACAGCACTCGAGTGGACAGACTACCCTGGGCCTCTGAATTCCTCAGATGTTTGTGATGTCCTAGTCTGCTTCTAAATGTTTGCATTCTGAATCTATTTGTACCCAAATTCCACTCACAAAGAGGCTTGTTTTACTAGGAAAAGCATCCCTCCAGCTATCAAGCTGTGAGAGCAACTCTGACTTATCTGGGAAAGAGGAACAGCTATAAGAAGAGAGCATAGGAGTGACTGTCCACTTCATAGATGGGGCAACACAGACTGTCCTGTGAAGGACTAGAGGGATATTCTCCAAAAACAAGCAACAGTTTAAATATCAGGAGGTACCTCTTGCTTACTCGTACCATGGAAGCACCTGTATAATAGTGGGTATGCCTGTGAGAGGTGAGCTCTAACCTCAAAAAGCCTCCATTTACTTTGTGCAGAGCTGACAGCGATACAGTTCTGTCCGACATGGGGATTGCCTGTCCATGTACCCCCTAGCCTTACATAGACATGCAGATCGGATTTCTCAGGAGAGTTCTAGTAGGCAATGAAGACTGGGAAGTGGCTTTCTGTTAGTGTGTCGTTCCCCCAAAACACCCTAAACTTACCAAAATTTTCTCCTCCCCAGATGTCCATTTGTGTATCATATTTTCCCAGGTGGTTAAACCAGGACTTATCGATCACAAAGATGCCTCCTGCTATGACAGGGGTTCTGGAAAAGAAAACACAAACCCACACAAAATAATTACATGTATATGTAGCACCAACATCTTCATTTTAGAGGGGGGGGACAATTTGTCCAGGCCTGACAAGTCATATCTCATTTCAAAAATATAAATAATAGAGGTGAGACATGAACCTGCACCAGGTTTCTGAGGTCCCCCTCACTAGATCATCCTCCTGCCTTTGTTAGATGGTCCTGCAAGCACTATGTGAGTAGTTCTGTCTTTTGCACTTATACAAGTATGCATAGTGTGAAGGAATGACAGGGGCACTGTCTGATGACTGTTCCCCCACTACACATGGGGTGAGAGACTTTGCTGGATGTACTGCTCTGCTGCTAGTAAGCTTGTTGCTTCTGGGGTACAAAACAGAGGCTCACAAATTACACAGAGGAATTGAATGATGCTTTCATGTTACAAACAGGCAGCTGTCTGCCTATACAGACAAGCACTCTGACTTTTTATATCAGGGTTTGCCACATTCTATATTCGGAGCCATGTACACTGCAGCAAGGCTAGCAATAACTGTTCCAGCTAACAGAGTCTGTTTTATCCATGGACATGCCTGTTGAGGAGGAGAGGATAATTCTGTGCTCAAACTACTTGACAAGATTCAGTTCCCAGGTCTGCTCTACATTTCCTGAGTGACTGTTCAGCTGCTTCATTCCTTAATTCTTCACCTGGAAGATGGAGGTAATTAAAAAACTCCAAAGGGATTTCTGAGGCATTCAGAGTGTTGAGTGAGACCACAAAACCAAGCATATAGAAGAGGTGGCATGACTAGAAGCCTATGATAGTATATTATGGCTATTCTTTCAATATTCAGGGAGTAATACTCTCAGAATTAAGGTCTAGACCTCAGTGCATTCAGAAAATAACATGAAGTGTTTGTCATCATCAACTGAACACTGTGGCATTTTGTCCTCAGCAAGGCAGCCCCTGTGCACTCCCTGCCATACAGGTAAAGGCTTAGTAAAGGCATTAGGATGATCGTACAGAATCCATCAGAGACAGCTACCTTATAGACTGAGTTGGGTCTGTTCTGGACATCTTCTGCTCTATCGGAATCTGCTCCCATTTAAAGTGAAGGCTCCAGTCAAACCCTGAGAAGAAAAAACATATGTCAAATAGGTTTTGTTACAGTTTCTCTACTAGCTTCAGTGATAGTCTCCACCTTCATGTCACAGGCTATCCACACTTTTGTTCCCTGACCTTCCCCATGGTCTACCCAAAATGGCAAGAGTCTAACCCAATGTAGCTAAGAAGTCACCTGCTTCTGTCTTGGTATCCTCATGCCTTAGCATTACAGATCTCTACTCAGTTCCACTCCGTATCTTCAGGACAGTGTTGTCAGTGTGAGATGTAACTGCATTTTGGCCAGTCTGTCTTACACTTCCCTGTCTGCCAAAGTTATGTGTCTTTAATCAAAGGACTTCGTGGGATGTGATGTATTCTGGGAATAAAGGCCTGCAGATCATTGTAACCACCACCTCTTTCAAGACTACCATTTATTTATAGTTGGGCTGTGGTGGACAGTTGACCACAGCACAGTCGCTAACATTAGCATCAGGAGAAGTGTGGCCAGCAGGTCGAGGGAGGGGCTTCTTCCCCTTTACTCTGCTCTTGTGAGACCCCACCTGCAGTGCTGCGTCCAGCTGTGGACCCCTCAACGTAAGAAGGATATAGACCAGTTGGAGCGAGTCCAGAGGAGGTCATGAAGATGCTCCGAGGGCTGGAGCTCCTCTGCTATGGGGACAGGCTGAGAGAGTTGGGCTTGTTCAGCCTGGAGAAGAGAAGGCTCCGGGGAGCCCTTATAGCACCTTCCAGTACCTGAAGGGGCTACAAGGAAGCTGGGGGAGACTTTTTACAAGGGCCTGTAGTGACAGGACAAGGGGGAACGGGTTTAAATTGAAAGTGGGGAGGGTTAGATTAGATACCAGGAAGAAATTCTTCACAGCGAGGGTGGTGAGGCACTGGCACAGGTTGCCCAGAGAAGCTGTGGATGTCCCATCCCTGGAAGTGTTCAAGGCCAGGCTGGATGAAGCTTTGAGCAACCTGGTCTAGTGGAAGTTGTCCCTGCCCATGGCAGGGGGGTTGGAACTAGATGGTCTTTAAGGTCCCTTCCGACCCAAACCATTCTGTGATTCTATGACTATACCATTGTTAAGGGGAGCCGCAGAATGAGTAGGCTTTGGCAGGGAAGTAGCACAGCAGTGAACTCCAGCCACAGGAGAGGAAGAAGAGCACCAGGCACTGCAGGTGACCACAAGAAGAGCTGCAAGGGGGTTCAGCTCCCAGAAGAGAGGTGAAAATGCTTTTCAGGAGGTGCATGAGACAGCCTGGCAGATAGGAGCAACAACTGGAAGTGCCTGTCAGACTCCAGTGTATATGTAGTGTAGAGTGACACGTTTAATCAGCTAAGTAAGTCCTGAAATTGCAAAATGTTGTGACAGTCATGCAAGCTCAAGAGAAAAAACACTAGTCAGGTTTTAACTCTGCAAAAGATCTGACTTCACAAGTTGCAGGAAAAGGAAGACAGAGAATCCATCAGGAAAGATCATCACTTTGTTTTCTTGGAAAGCTGTAGAGAACAAATTATTTTTCATGCACCATCCCTCAGGCCTAATTTACAGAAGCCATTTATTATACCCACCTCCCCTCAGATCTGCTGATGCTGCCAGGTAGGCAAAATTATCCAGGCTGATAACATCAATGATTGGACTCACTACTCGGGTATAATCCTGAGGGAGACAAAGAAAGGGGAAAAAAAAGGAGTCAAGCTTTTCTTGAAGGTCTGGCAAGGCTGCCAGACACCACAAAACACAAAGCTACACATGTAAATCTTTGTCTGGCTTCTCCAGTACAGTTCTGGTAGCTAAGCAATCCGTGGCCACTGCATCCAAACATGGAGATGTTAGCCAACTGCACACCACAGACACGGGGAATGGAGCCTGGGACCCCTATGTCCAGGAATGCTGCTAAGAAACAGCTTTTCATTTCCTGCCCAAGTCACAGGACATGACTCACTGTCCCAAAGGTTTTGTGATTGGTTTTGGTATCTACTGACAGCATACCTCCCGCTCAACCATCCTTAATTAACTCATTATCATCAGCCTAGAAATTATCAATCCCCTAATAAAGCATCTTCCTAACAAGTACTATGAATTGAGACCGCACACTTAACAATGACAGTGCAAACTGAAAAAACCCATAGTATTAAGATATTGGTGGTACTTTATTGGCATTAAGGGGTATAGATCTCTACAGTTTTCTTTTGCAATCCTTTTATTAAGTAGAAATTGAGATTATAGCAATTTTTCAACATCATAAGACAGGGCATTAAAGACAGACTTGTGGTAGTTGAAATATATGATGGAATAGTGAGCTGGCAATGCCAGAAACAGCATGCTGTTATCAGACAGCTTCCAGCCTCTATGTCTTTCCTATCAAACCTTCATTTTGTGCCTTACAATAGTTCCTCCTGCTGTAGCGTACTTGGCCAGGATGGCACATCCTAGGGGAGAGCTATCATTCAGGTTTATTTTCCCCCATGCTGCAATGGCTGCACAGCAAGAGTATGTCTGCCTCAGCCTGAAACCCCCCAGCACCCACCCGGCAGTCTGGTGCTCCAGCCACTCCTCCAACCAGTCAATGCTAGGACTGGGTGAGACTGAAATCTGAACTAGGATGCACATCAGACATGCAGGAATAGGCTGACTTGAAATCTGCTCAGAAATAACAGTGGAGTCAGCACCCAAGCATTTGCAACTTACATCCCTCCCTGAAGAAACTAGTGAAGTCCTTCCTGCTTAGGAAGCCCTGTGCTGCTGCTGCAGCTTGACTTAAAGAGCAGTAGTAAAGTAAACATTTATGGGCTTCCGAGACTGAGGATTTATTGAGCAGGAATAAAAAGCAGAAGCTTTTAAGTCATCAATCTTGAAGTTTCACCTTCTTCCACTCCTTCATATTAAGCAAACCTGACATGAATAAAAGGCATTAGAGCCTCCACACCCTCTCCTGAGGCCCATTACCCCATGAGATCCTCCTTCCAGAGGAGGGGATCAATCTCAGCCACTTGCAAGAATGGCTGTGACTTCTCCCATCACCTCTCCCCAGTTTGCTCTTACCATGGAGCTGTATGCTTCCCCCTCCAGCCCTACAGCGTAGTCAGGGTGACAGCTGCTAATACTCCTGTCTCATTTTCACTCTTCAAGCCTCAGGTCAATCCTTTGCAAAGCAAACAAGCCAAAGGACAGCCCTGCACTCACAGACAGCTCCTCTGTGCCAGGAAGCCGCCTGCATGCAGGTGGTGTGTGTTGGCAGCTCAGTGGGAGTATTAATGGAAGGGAAATTTTGGCAGTGACAAGGCAGAGGGTCCAGCAAGGGGACAAGGGGAGGGTCCAGCAGCAAGAAGGGAGATGGCAACCATGGAAAAGTTGCAGTGTGTGCTGCCAAAGTGGCTATCCTGTGTATAGGCGGACAGGGCTAGGACCCATTGCTCAGCACCTCCTGCCCTGCCTCACTGGCAGGACAATGTAGAAGCCCATCAGAGGTCTCTTGCCCATCTAGCTCAGCCTGCACCTTCCCCTGTAACAGCCTGCCTGAGGAGAGCAGTACCTGGGCAGGCTTTCTCCTCATCAGCACTGCTGATGGCACGAGAGGGCAGAGGATCCACCAGCACAATACAGACCAGCTCCATCCATCCCAGAAGGGGACATGGTGCTCACCTCTTTTACTCTCTGAAGCATTGGCTGCAGCCACTCACTGTTGACTTCACAGTGACTGTCCAAGAAGGTGAGGATGTCAGCGGTAGCCACTTCGGCTCCTCGCACCCGAGAGCGAATCAGCCCTACGATGAGGAAAGGACAGCAAGGGAGCAGGAAGGTTGGGAAAGGAAACACAGAGCTTCCTTCAGAGAAAACACTCTGTGTGGACATTACCGAAGAGCAGGTGGTTTTGCTATATCACACCTCCATCAGGAGCAGAGAGCAGCTTCATCCAGGCACCCCGCCGGGGACACTGTCAGCGGAGCTCCCCCCAGCACACGAAGAATGACCACACCTCTCACTTCCATCCATGCCACTGAGCTTTCATCTGGTTCCTGCTGTGATGACATCCCCCTTCCCTTCCAGACCTCTCCACAGGTACCTTGCTGGTGCCTGCTCGGTGTCTCTCCCCATGGCCTCTTTCACCACTTTCACTGGCCCAAGCTCTACTCTCTGCTTTTAGCTGCTTTATTCCCGTTTGTCCTTTATTCTGCCCCGTGGTCAGAGATACCAACCTGGCTGTCAGATGTCTGCTTACTTTCTTACAGACCATCCCACTACTTGGCATGCTCTTTGTGAACTAAGCAGTGATTCCCGTCTGCCCTACCAGATCTGGCTGCAAGCCTGCTGTGCACTGACAGCTCTAGAAATAAGCCAGCACATATGAAGAGCAGCTGGGAAAGCCAGCGTTACCATTTATGCACACAGGAGATACATGAGAAATAACTTTCCTTAATTGTATCTCTTTATGATAGATATATGATTGTTTTTCCTTTTCCCATATCTCCTAGATGGCTTGTTATCTTGCACTCTGAGTTTAAAAGGACAGGACTTACATCCGCATCTATATTCATAGAGATCTTAAAATGTGGTCCTTGTTCTAGCCAAGGCCCCTGGACACCACTTCTCATTATTTAAGGGATGAAATGAGAGCCCTGAAGCCAGAGTGTTGATAAGACAGGTTATCCCTCCACAGAGCCTCCAAAGTAGGATGCCAAACCCTCCTACTGAAAAAAACAAACTGTAAGAAACAACATGCAAGCAGCTGGCAGGCAGACAGGGCCGTGTGGGAAAATCTGCGAAGTCTTTGTACCTACAAAGCTTTCTACACTCACCTTCTCGCCGGGTGTTGCGTAGACACTTGACCTTTGGGATCTTGGTGAGGAGCTGGCAGTCCTCAGCTTAGGGAAGGCAAAAAAAAAAAACCCGTTTGGCACACATACACGAATTATTTGGTTTCAGCAGAGCGCTCCAATTAACTGTTCTCCTGCTTCTCCATAGGAGGGGAAATTCTGCTTTCACTTAACATCACATTAATCAGCCTGATGGCCTTAATCCTGCTGTCTAAAGAGTACAGAAAGAGCACTGCTTGCTTGCTGTCCTCCTCGGACAGCTGAGCCGTTGTTGGCCGATACTCTGAGGCCTTCACCCTCCTGCACGCAGTGTTTCACAAGGACAACGGGGCATGTGCTGGCAACGCAGCGCCGAGCACTAATGAAACGGAGGGACTGCGGGGAGCCAGGGCTGCAAATCACCAAAGTGCCAAGTAAAAAGGAGTTCTGTCACATAAAGTGATCTCATCCACTCTCTCTGCCTTCAGCGGCTCGTCTGGGCATTACCCACCATTTGTTCTCAGGGCAGTTTCTGTGTGATTTTATTTAATAAAGGCCACAGGGGCGTGACCTGCTTCCTTGGAGACAGCATTGCATTAACACATGGGTGCCTAACCGAGGGCTTCGCTGGCAGCTGCCAGAAGCTCATGCCATCCCTCATTTACATTGCCCAGGGGAGATGATGGAGACGAACAGCTACTGGCTCCAGCCCAGCTGTACCAGTAAGCACTGGGTCTTTAGTTCCTTGTTATGCTCCCTCTATTCCTGCCCCAGCAGAGGTCACAGGAATAACAGTTTCTAACTTCCTCCTTTCCCTTGCCTCACCAAGTTCACCCCAGTTCCCATGTTTATTGTTCATTCCTTTTCATGTCTGACACGTCCCCTTTCCCGCTGTCATCCTCCCACAGACTGAGCGCTCCAGGGAGAACACAAAGGCCATTAGTCAAAGTTCATCTCTTGGCATGTTCCTGCGGGAGCATTTCCATTCTCAAGGATACATGCAATCTGAAATAGTGCTCTTGCGTGGGCACTTGGGCAGCTGCTGCATCATCCAAGTCACGTGGCAGGTGCTCTTCATTGCAGAGCATCAAGATTTTGCTGGACACCTGCTACAGGGGAAGGCAAGACTCCCATCTTGGCCAGGTCACAACTTCAGGTATGAGAATCCTTATCAAGCCATTCACTCTCCAGGAGTGGAGTACATCACTCTGACTGTAACTACGTGACAGAGCTGACAGACTCTCTGCATCTTTGGAGAAACCGAGGCAAATATTAAAGCAAAGCGTCAGATCTCAAACTTGTGCTTCAGGGGAGCAGCTGTATCCACAAATATCCAGCTTCCAGTGAAAAAGTGAGAGCTGTCATAGGATGGAGCTTTCTAAAAACCGTCCAAGAGCCTAAATGGAAGTTTCTGGTTGAGCCTTGCACAGGACAGGTACCAGAAATACATCAATGTTGATCTGGAACACACTGGCCATCGAGAAGTGAATTTTTAGGTGCTGAATGTGGGACACTTAGAACTGTTGGAAGTGCTCAAAACCCCAAATCCAACAGTTGGGCACAGATCAGTCCTTATCCAAATCACACTCTAAGGTCCTCAGCAGGGAAGGTGGGATTCTTAGGTATCTGTGAAGTGTTCTGAAGGAGTAATTATCAATTATTGTAAGGGGCACACAACTAGATTTTCCTTGGATCTAGTACACATTGTGGAATAAGCAAGAACCCTTCTGTCCTTACCACCTCACCGCCTACTACACACTAGCTAATAGCAAGAGCAACTCTACAGATAGAAAGAGCCCACAGCCTCCAGCCTGCAGGTCTGGTGGGATTCATGCCGATGGCACTCCATCCCTGTGCCAAGCTGCAGGAGAAAGTATGGCGCTGCCCAAAGCAATAACCCTTCCATGGCCTCCCACAGGAACACCTGGGGTCCTAGGCACATGGGGACAGGCAGATGGTTTTGCCCCAGTCTGCCTGCAGGATCCCAGGCTGCAATTTTCTGTAGGGTCCATTGCATCGTCTTCCTCGCTGTGGGTTTGTGATGTCCCACTCTGCGCACGTATGCCATAGCTACGTACGTATCTGCACTAAACAGCCCACAAAATGGCACATAATGAAACTAGACGGAGATGTCTGGCGACCTGGCCAGACCTGCCAAGCTGACAGAAAGGGAAGACCAAATGGAAAGAAAGAAAGAGGAAGAAGCTCTGGCCTCTGCCATGCATGGACATACTAAACACAGAAAAACTACCTCCCCTGCATACAGACAAGAGGGAATCTGAGGGAGAGGGGCTGAACAGAGCAAACTAAAAGAGAAAAAGCAGAAGGGAAGAAACAAGTGCAAGGGAAATAGGTCCATACTTACGATCTGAGCTGAAGTCATCTACCAAAATGATCTCCTGGATGAGGCTGGGAGGAGTGCGGTTCAGGACACTGCAGGGACCCAGGGAGGAAAAAGACAATCTTTGTGAGCTGCCATAATAATGACAGTGATGGGACTCATACAAATCTTCCATGTTATGCATTAAAGCAGGAATACCAAACTCCAGTAGTGTGGAAGAGGTAACCTTGCCCTTGTTCACTGGCAGGAGTCAAACTACAAGCAGGAATATCCCAGAGACCTATGCCATCTCAGCCAGACCTTACAAGGACCCAAAGCTAGGAAAGTGACTGCAGGACTTGCCTGGGGGCAGAGAGCAAAGGATGCTGCTGGCATGCCCTCTGCCTCAAAACAGAGAGGCAAAGAGGTGAGCACCACCTGCCCCTGAGGCAGCCAGGAGGCCATTCTCATCTGCCAGGCTCTGGGTAAAGCTCCTCACTCTGGGGGAACAGAAAGAGAGCTGCCACTTTCCCCAGCAATGATCTCTGTCTGGGTGCTGCAGAGGAGGCCTGATGAGGCTTTCTCACCAATTCCCTTCTTTGGGAGGAAGGCAGTTTGGTTCAGCATTATTCTGGATTCGGATTTTTTTTTTTTCTTCTTTTGCGTTTTCCTTGACTTTTTTTCAAGCCAGCCCCTACACCTGTTGGGAGAGCACCCCCTTTCCTCAGGCTGGTCGCACCATACCCTGATCTCATACCCTGTAGCCAGAGCAGTCTGATTCTGACATCTTTGTCCCTCTCATTTGTTTAAGACACTTGAACTAATTTTCCATGACCTTCTTCAAGTCCTTCCTCTGGCTCTGCTATAACCACACAGCATATTCCCTGTTCGAGCCTCCTTCTCCAACAACTTTATTCATAGGCATGTCCTCATTGTCTCCAACCAACAAGATTGCTCGGTCACATTTAGTCACCCCAGTGATGAGGACAGCTATGCAAACATTAATATTAAAAAAAAAGGGAAACACTGTCCCCTCGGTTCTAGCAACCCATCTCATTTCAGTGGCACCTGCTCTTCTAATTTTGAGCAATTCTGCAGAAAGATCGTTGGCTTTTTTTTTGGCTTTTTTTGATTTATACAGGAATCAGACAACAAGATTAAGCCCATACTCCCAGGAAGGGAGCTGTAGAGAAATAAATTACCACCTTGCTAAGTAACCTCAATGATGGCTTTGCCTACAGAGCCAAAGTTTCCTCAGTTTGGGAGAGTTTTCTGCTGTCTCACACAGCAAAATCCTGACTGCTCTGCTGCTCAGTATCACATCCCACTCTATTTCAGATTTACGCTGCTTCATACGTCTCCAAGAGTATTTGTATTTTGAGCTTATATGTCCCTAGATGACTGAGCTTGCATTTTTCAAAGCTGAATCTCATTTGCTTCTCTTGGCTCATACCTCTCTGGTTCTTCTCACATGGTGGGGTGGGAGGAGAGGGATGTTCCCCTTTGCATTTATAAGTGCAGCTTCTCCCAGCATAGGCATCATCTGCATATTTTACAGACAAAGGTGCCCTGTGCTGAAATTCTTGCCTGTGAAAACTCAGTGCAAAACAACAAATCCAGACAGGCTGCATCCTGCAGTACAATGGCTGTAAAAAGGTATTCTACACCTTTCTGCCACTAGCCTGACTATTAGCAATGCTGATATTTTTTCCACAAGTTTCTGGTCTTCTAACTCAACAAAACTTGAAAAAAACCCAAACACTTTGTTCCCTCTTCCTCAACTGTCCACTGATTCCCCAGCAGAGAGAGAACACTCCTCGAGGAGTTCACAGCTCATTGTTCAATGCCCAGTTCTGCTCTCATCTCTGCAATAATTTGCTGTGGATCCTTGGGAAAGGCACTTCATCTTCTTTGCACTTTGTCTTGTCTGTCTTTTTAACAAGGAACACAGTAATCCCAGCATTTCCCTCCAATGAGGTGCAGAGACTGGCATGACAATTCATTACTTTCAGGCAGAAAATATATTATTAGGATTCCAAAATCCAAATGACAATTGACTTTAACAGCAGAAACACAGACTGTTCTCCCCTCAACTCACGTGTCCCTTACCTCCTTTGTCTTTTCTCACAGCTTCCTTCTTTCAGCACCAGTGTCCTTACTCTGTCCTGTGACACCACATCAGCATTGCCAATGAGTTTCTCTCCTCTGCTGATCTGCCCACCCCTCATCAGCTCACAGATGATTGCATTTATTCCAGATGTGAGCTGAGGAATGTTTTTTTCTTCCTTTGCTCTAAAATAATCTCCTCTTTTGCCATTATTTAAATTGTCAATGTAATGACTTGTTACGCCAAATGCTCTAGCATTACAACAGCATCCTTTTCATCAGAATTTATACAGGCTTTCTGCACAGGCAACAAACCACTGACAGCTGTTCAAGCCCACTGACTTAAAGCCTGACTATTCGCCTTTACATCTGCACCAAAGACCAACAGCACCCGCAACACTGACTGAAATGGGAAATGAAGACAAAGAAAGGGACCGGGCAACAACGCAGTTGATCTCCCCTTCTGCAAGAACGCTCACCACAGCAGAAGTGACCGTACCGCTTAAAGACTAATCAGACACAGACATCAGTCATGCAAAATGCGTTTTGAGTGACAATTATTTCCAAGAGAGAACAGGATGCCAAGCAAGTAGCTGGTTTGAGAGTGACAGCTACGTCCTGCTGAGGAAAAGACATCACGCAGACAAGCAGCTCTTGACTGACACGTCTCCTCCAGGACGGAGGATGCCAGCAGCGAGTCACTTGAACTGGCGGGTTCACAGGTTCTGCGGATAGCCCACTGTGCTGGGGGTGTGTGGAGGGGGGGTGTGTGTGCGTGGGGGTGTACGTGTGGGTGTTTGGTGTCGAGGGAGGGGCCACAGTGGTGGCTCCTGTGAGAAGCTGCTAGAAGCTTCCCTGCCTCCAAGTCAGACCCACTGCTGGTCACAGCTGAGCCAATTAGTG